AACAATTTTTTCTTTGTCAGTGACCTTGATTTGCCAGAAAGACATTTGATCAGGGTCATGACAAAACCTCCAATTATAAGTAACCTATTTTCAAATAAGAGCCCCCAATGATTTTCATTCACTAATTCATAGCGTAGTAACGAAAATATTTCTTCTGTCAGTGACCTTGATCTTAACAGAATAACCTTGGCTCTGTGTCAAGACAAACACCTTTTAGTGATTAGAAGTTTATAACCCTGACAGGAATTTTACAACTTTTCTGTCATTGGCCGATGAAGATGTTTGAAATTTGCATTATCTCGTTCCATTTTGTCACAGGTCAGAAAAACAACATTGAGGTATTTTAAAACATCACCGGATATTAATATTCAAACATGGTGTATCTATTTATGAAAGATAGACGGGGTTGAAAGTCCCTTCCATAATACGTATTTAAGGTAATAGCTTTACTTTCAATAAAATTAAACTCAAAAGTCCACAAATAAAATATCTTTCCTCATTTATTTATATAGAGAAAATTCAACAACACTAAAGTTAACCATTATTTATTTGTATGTGGCGAGTACTGTCGTGGCAATATTCGTGGGTCGCCGAGCAAATCAACACAACATTGGCAGACCCACTTCAGCATCAACAACAAATCAACCAATCAAATTCAGTAATGATATAAAATGTACCATCCCGGGTAATCCGCGGACAGTTAATTAATTAATCATTACTATATGAACAACTTACATAATCATTTCAATACAAAATGCAGTTTTTATAAGTCACAAAGCAATGCAGTTCCCATCAGCACAAAATATTGACTCAAATGTTAATCAGTAATCAACTCATTTCACATTAATAATAATTTGTTTAAATATCAGTTGACTTTAGTGTGCGCAAACGTGCGCCTATGCCACGACGCTCCAGGATTGATCCTTTCCTCTTTAGGATTCCTTGATGCCTCTCGATAATCGTCTTGATTGTACCAGTCCAAGCATGCCAATCAGGGCTAAGACCATATACCTACAATTTAAATCAACACAGCAGTATCTCTTGCCGAAACAAATTAAATTTTAAATTACGTAAACATCATCAGCTGATCTTGAATAACAGCACATATCTTATCCTAAAACATTTCAAACATATAAAATGGATTTACAGCTATTGAAATGGGATGGGTGGGTGGGCAAGAATCAGTTTTTACCAGTCGATTTGTTGTATCTTTACCAATTTATAACTGTTTATTCTCTAGATGTATCTTTGTCTGTTCCCTGTTCAGCAACCGGATATAAGAGGGAGCCCGAACCCGATGTTACTAATGGAATCTCTATATCATATTCATCGAACCCGATTTCTTTTCTCATAAAATAAAGGCATCTATTTTAGATTATCAAATAGATGCTATTATTTATATAGAGAAAATTCAACAACACTAAAGTTAACCATTATTTATTTGTATGTGGCGAGTACTGTCGTGGCAATATTCGTGGGTCGCCAAACAAATCAACACAACATTGGCAGACCCACTTCAGCATCAACAACAAATCAACCAATCAAATTCAGTAATGATATAAAATGTACCATCCCGGGTAATCCGCGGACAGTTAATTAATTAATCATTACTATATGAACAACTTACATAATCATTTCAATATAAAATGCAGTTTTTATAAGTCACAAAGCAATGCAGTTCCCATCAGCACAAAATATTGACTCAAATGTTAATCAGTAATCAACTCATTTCACATTAATAATAATTTGTTTAAATATCAGTTGACTTTAGTGTGCGCAAACGCCACATGGCTGCAAACGAGTAAACGTTTGCAGTCACCCCACAAGGGAGCACCAAGTCAACTGACCCACGACAATACTCAAGCCTCCTAGTTATTTCCATCTGGATAGACTGTTCCTAATTTTAGCTGAAAGTATTCCAGACCCCCCTGAATTGTGTTAAGGAATACTGAATTTCCAAGGTCAGAGAGGTGAACACCATCTTTTAACAAAAAGAGGGATATATCATGCAGGAGTTCTGGATATTTTATATAGTAACCCCCCAAACTAAGGACATGTTTAGCGATCGCTCTATTAAAGCGAACTCGGGTTCTTTCCATTGCTTCATCATTCTGAGAGTACCTCCATTCTAACCTAGGAAGGACCTGAGACCATATGAATTTAGAATTTGGGAAGTGATGTACCAATGCTTTCAAGTCATTTTTTGTTTCATGTATTAGTTTACACAGATTCTTATCTTTCCTACCTAAATCATTTCCTCCACAATGAATCAAAATAAACTGTGGTGGCAATTCTAATCGCTTCAGACAAAACATTTTCATTTTTAAGTCAGAAATCTTTAATCCAGAATATCCTTGGCTGCCACCATATTCTCTGTCCTATTCTCTCTAGCCCTAGATTTAATCCTCCTGGTCGGCTGCGTGCTGCCACAAATGCCCTCCGTATTATTGAAGAGCCTACACACCAAACTTGATATCTTTCTGTAATACTTAGTAGGATTAAAATAGTGTCCATTCAAATTATAGAGAGGATTAACCCATTGTATTTACTATCTCAATATGTCATAACAAACAAACAGTCTATCTTTTCCAAATCAAAATATACAAAATGTACACCTAAATGTTAATGCTGTTCATGCTTTGCACTCATATGAAGCTTTAAAATAGTTTAACGAGTGGGCAACGGATGTATGATTTGTAGACCTGCGATTTCCATCTACCTGCCTCCCTTATTATCTCAGAAGAACAGCCCAATCCATGTGCAGCAGTGGCTGCCCCTATTCGAAAGGAATGAGCTTTAAATTTCCCCCCAACACCTATAACTTTTAAGGCTTTTTCCAGAATTGAAGTAAGCTGATATCTTGTGATAGGTTTCCCCCCAAAATGACAAAACAATGGCCCCTTTATTTTGGGTCTACCAGCCAAATATTTAGTCATGCATCCCACCGGACATGTATTGCTGCCCACCCTTTGCATTTGTATTGTTACACCTTTTCCATGTTGGTCAGACTTTGATCGGTGAATATTCAAGAGTAATGTTCTCTGATCAGGCTCAATTTTGATGTCAGAAACCTGAATAATGCTATGTACATCATTTCCTGTTGACAGCGCAAATTCTCCCACCCGCAGAAACCCAAAAAAGGCGAGTGTAAATGCAGCACAAAAAAGGTTTGATTCATATGTATTATAGCATATTGTGGGTACAACTTGCACAATTTTTGATAATAATGCGGGTGTAATGGGTAATCTTGTGTCAAGAGGGCTCTTAATCCTTTTCATACCTTCTAAAAGCTTTACTACAATAAAATTTTTTGTTTCATCCTGAATATTCTTTAACTTGCACTGAAAGCTGATAGCAGCAACATATGACCTAGCTGTTGAATATGAATAGCCTGAACATGACAAGAATGCCACAAATTGTACTATATGATTTAATGGTGGTGGCCAGATTTGTTCATAATTAAAAGAGCAACGAAACTTTTGAAATGATTCTAATCCCGTACTGTACGACAGTTTAGTGTTTGTGGACAAGGACGCTTCGAGTAATTTTTCTACTTCAAGCTGTAGATCATTCTCACAAAATCCTCGGGTATGTTTTGTGGCGCCTCTTTTGCATTTGGTGCCAGGTCTCTGAACTGTCTCCACTGTTTGCGAGAAATTGCATCTGCTATACTATTAAATACACCTGGTATATGTTTAGCTTTAAAAATAACATTGAAATTCATTAATTTTAAAACAAAATATCTTACTAAATTCATTGTCCTTTTTGATTTGGAGGTTTGCTTGTTAATGACACTGACCAGTGCAATGTTATCAATGTGAAACAAAACTTTCTTGTTTCGAAGGCAACTCTCCCAAATTTCTATTGATAATACTACAGGCACCAATTCTAAAAATGTTATATCTCTCATTATTTCTTGATCTTTCCATTCCCCAGGCCATGCTAAAAATGTCCAGCTACCTTGAAAGTATGCACCACAACCTAACTTATTAGCACCTGCACTATCAGTAAAAAATTCTAAGACATTGGAATTTGTCCATTCGGACTCGGGAAAATATGACACACCATTAAATTTTTGCAAGAATTTTAACCACATTTCCAAGTCGCTTCTCATTCCTATTGAAATTCTAATAAAATGATGAGGTTTGGAAGCACCACTCATTGCATCATAAAATCTTCTATTAAATGCCCTGCTTGACCTAATTGCTTTACCAAAAAAATTAAGCATTCCTACTAATGACTGTAAATCTCGAAGGGTAACCTTCTTTTTTCCTAACATGTCTTTTATCATTTCCGTCAACAAAACAACTTTGGGTTGAGGTATTCTTATGACCATTTCAATAGTGTCTATGTCTAATCCTAAATATGTGATTTTTGTGGTAGGGCCTGCAGTTTTATCCTCAGCTAATGGGACACCAATATCTGTTGTAACACTTTTGAAATTTTCCATAAGGCGACTACACTCTGAGGTTCCCCCTTTCCCAGCAAAAATAAAGTCATCTAAGTAGTGATCTAAAGTTTCTAAACCAGTTTGAAATTTTGTTAACCAATGCAGGAATGTTGCAAATGTCTCCCATATTTTACAACTTATAGCACAGCCCATTGGTAAACATTTGTCTATATAATAAAGCCCATCTACCGAAAACCCCAACAAATCAAAATCACCTGGATATATTGGTATTAATCTAAAAGCACTCTTAACATCAACTTTTCCTAAAAGGGCCCCTTTCCCTAATACAGAAATCATGTCTACCACTTTATCAAATGAAGAATAACTTACTGTACATAGTTCTGGATCAATGAAATCATTTATACTATTTGATTCTGGGTATGACAAGTGCGTAATCATTCTCCAACCTCCGTCTGACTTTGGAATAATACCAACAGGTGACAAGTGAAGATTTGATATTGGAAGTTTACTAAATGGTCCTACCACCCTACCTAACTCTATTTCCTTTTGTATTTTCTCCATCAACTCGACATGGTGATGCTGCGCTGATAGTAAGTTTTTACAGGACACATGAACCCTTGGCCCTGAGTACTGGAGTTTAAAACCACTTAAAAATCCATCCCTTAAAAATTGGGCTTTATTTTGGTCTGGGTAATCATTTAAATATTTCAATAGTTGTTCCACTTTAATAGGTGTTTTTCCTAGGTCCCATATTTTTCTGAGGTCTATATTGCTGGGGTCTTGTAGTACTACTAGCCCCTGGGGCTCGAAAGGGGGGTTGAAATCTGGGTACTCCCGGGGAAAAGAAGTTGGCACTATGCTGGTTATAACCGGGATACCCTTCCCCTTTGAATGATTGATATTGACCTATGCTTGTTTGTTTCAAAGGACACGAAGAGATGGGGTGACCATTGTTGCATTTAATGCACATATGTAAGTACCCACAACCTTGTTTGCTACAGAAGCCCCTGTAGTTAAAGTTGAAACATTTGTTATGCGTTATTTGCCCAGGTGAGGGTTGAGTTGAGACAGCCTGTTGCGATGGGGCATGCATATACATAAGCCAGAGTTCAGGATCTATCCCTGCCCAGGAAATTGATGGATTAACACTTCGTCTTAATCTGAATTGTTCATCGTACTTTTTCCATCCCATCCCTCTTGTAGCCCCTAACCTTATGTCATGCATGTATTTAAAGAGACCCTGCACTTCATCTTGATGAGCTGAAGCATAAATGCTACTATAAATCAAAAATGCATCAGTCCATTTTTCTATTGTGTTAATATTAATTTTCGCTTTTGAACTTTCTTTAGTAACAAGTTCCCCTTTTTCATTGAAGTAAATTTTTTTCTCTGCTGCTTCAGTCATGGATGTATTATCCAACAATAAACTTATGTCAACATATTTAGAATTGACAATTTTATCTTTGATGTTCTGAGAAACATTAGACGACAACAAAGTATTGACCGAATCAATCATGCACGGTGCTTCATAATCAAGCACCCCATTGTCACCCAGACTACCTGATGTTTCTGCTGTACTAGGTGTACTACATGTAGTTAGGCCATCCTGCTGACTAGTTGTTTGGATATTTTGTGGTTCAGCCTGGGGCAGATCTCTGGGCTTTTCTTTGGTAGCTGTGCGCTTTCTTTTGGAAGTACTTCTGGCTGAAGTCTGTGCATTGGTAGATACATCTCCACCTGCCGTCTGTCCACTAGGCCTAGCATCATGAGGGGGGTTCACCGACCTTGGATTCCCTTCAGTGGCAGCAACCCTCGGTGTTGTATTGCGTTTTCTTTTAGGCATTTCTCATGCAATATAAAAGCTACACCAATTTATCACAAGTTTAAACAATTTAATAAATCCAATCTAATCTTTTCTGGTACGGGTTGCATCACCCAATTTATACGAAACAAATTAGTATTTCCAGAAATTAACGTAAACGTTACGTCCTATATCTTTCTTATATTACAGGTTAAAATATTTCCAAGATTATAAAAACAATAAATTTCCCCGAATTCTTAATCAGCTTTTTCTAAAAATCTACCATGTGCTTAATGCACCAGACGACAATCCAAGGTCATCGTTCATTTAAATATAAAAATTATTTTCCATGGATGATAATCTTGTATAAAATGTTATCTAAAGTTACAAAATCAATTACAAGAATCAGTTTTTACCAGTCGATTTGTTGTATTTTTACCAATTTATAACTGTTTATTCTCTGGATGTATCTTTGTCTGTTCCCTGTTCAGCAACCGGATATAAGAGGGAGCCCGAACCCGATGTTACTAATGGAATCTCTATATCATATTCATCGAACCCGATTTCTTTTCTCATAAAATAAAGGCATCTATTTTAGATTATCAAATAGATGCTATTATTTCAAAGTTTGGTAAAGGGGGTGAGGAGCATGGGGATGTCATGATATATACGTAATATATTCGAGGTTATTATTCCGTTAGACAGGAAGACCCCAGGAGTTGTGATTTGCTGATCATGATCTAAAACACGTTGACAAACCGAAACCACATGGTTTTATACACGTTATTCAATCAATTCATTCATAATTATTTTCCTTGAAGGAGGAATGCATGGATAAAGGATTTAAAGAAAATTCCAGATGTACAATAGCATCCGTGCATGGACTTCATTTTAGTACTACAAAATGATATTGTGCTTGAAGTTGAATAAAATCATCAAATAAATTAAATTTAAATAGGAAAGGGAGATTATGTTTAATAGAATAAAAATTAGACAATACTTGATACATGGACTCGCTGGTAAAAACTTGAAGGTACTTGAATAAAATGCCTCTCACTCACTCTCTGGTACGCGTATTATTTAAACCAAGGAAAGTAATTTGTGCTAGATATAAGTTCATTTTAAAGAAAATACTGAGTTATATACGGTAAACGATACAAATGGTTTGACTTTGGTGCCGGCTATGATTTTAACAGTTTCATTTAGGTTGTAAAAGCATGTAATTACATGATAAGTCTGTAATATTCAGATAAGATTGTTATCCCGGTATATAAGTTCTTAAATTTTCGAATCTGGACATATGCGGGTTTATTACTACTTGAATGTACATTATATAACCTGCTACTGATACTTAATCACGGAACAAAATTACAATGTTAGCACACTATACTAATCATTTATACGGGTTTTGAATAAATTATAAAACAAATTAAGTTGATTGCTTTAAAATCATTATTTCTTGAACTTTACTATAAAACCTCTATAAATTAATAGACAGTGTGCAGCACAGAAGTCACTTATGAAGTTTACATGTGCCGGTGTTACTTATCGATGTTTAGTCCATTTCATTGGGTATAATTCTATCCTTACGATTCGGAAGATTCTCTTTAAAAGTTTAAAATTGGTATAGCCATGGTTAATATCTGTGATGAAAAAAATGTGTTTCGGAAAACTTGTGTTGAAAAGGATTTATTTGTGTATGAAAAGAGCAAAGCTTGTGCATTTTAATAAATATTGGTTGAAGTAAAGTAACTGCAGATCGCCAGCCCATGCGCTATGAATCGTCAAATTACACATGGAGCTAACGAATAGTTAAGAATTGAAGACTGATTAATGTACATGTAAAATAAATTAAATGCCCCAGCGTTTTGTACTAAAGTCAAACCTAAAACATTTTAAGATATTTTTGAAAGATTTAAATTACTTAGAGAAAATAATATTTTCTTACTGTTGTAGAATGGTTTGTATATATATACCAATTATTTTGCCTATGACTGCGGGGTCAATGGTTCACCACGGTGTGTCGCTTTAGAATTTCTCGGCTGCTTGTAATCGAAAGATAGATTACGCAATGGTAAAAACACTTAGAATCTGGGTTCCAGGTGAATATGAGAATCGCGCAGTAAATAATTGTGTATTATTTGACTCTTAAAAGTTTTTTTTTTTAATGAAATCCGGGCGTATATTGTTTCCGTTCAAATTTTTGTGTTTATATTCAAATGAATAAAAGATACTCGTACTTTTTAAGGTCTTCCGTTTCCAACGGAAGACCTTCTACTGATTCTGATGGTAAAGATTATTATTCTTTTTTTTTCTTCTACTTCCTAGACCGCAACTTTGATGCTTCATATCTCATTCATTTCTCAACGGATTTCGCTCAAATTTTCAGAGGTTATAGACGCTTATAAACTCTACCAGAATGTTGACTAAAATTTCAAAAAGTCACTTCCGGTTTTCAGTTATTTCCCTTCAAAAGAAAATTTATAGGCTTTCGTTTCCGGATAAAGGCTCAGAGACCACAAAAGCTGAAGCAGAATTTTTACTGATTTTAGGTAACAGAAGGATTGAAGTTGTGCACATCGGTTTTTGTTTTTCGATTTCTGTATTAACAATGGCGCTATATAGGGGTCAAAAATTAGAACGCCTAAAAGAACGAAAATTTACACATATTTTCTTTTATATCTTGAAAACTAAAAATATTTTGTTAAGACATAATGAACAAAAGTTGTGCATAATTGTAAGGGCTTTCATATAATAATATTTAAAAGGGACTGGCCCCTTTAATTAGGGCTCTATGGAACTTTAAAGTTTTTGCTTTATAACTCAAAAACGGTAAATATTTCGATCTAGATCTTACGAACAAAATTGTTCTTTTACACCTTTTTGATCTGATGAAAATGCTGTTTTGTTCAATTATGCCGGGAATATTGCGTAAGCAGACAAGGTAAACAGGTAGCGTTTTTCCTTGTTCACCTTGTTTGTTTACAATTATATAACACGCCTCCCTCGATAGCGCGGGGCAAAGTCGGTCAACGGGAATCAATCTGCGGGTAATCCAGCGACCCACAGTTATACACAAATAAAAACACAGAATGGTTAAATTCATTTTTTAATAAATAAAATTGTATCTTAATGCTATCTCTGTCCTATGAAAATATTATTTTGTTTGAGTCTTACGTATTATAGGAAAGAAAGCTAGACAGTTCTCATCTTGCTATTGAAGGAAAACTCTGTAGTCTTTATGGGCAGAATTGAAGTAAACTTGCCGTAAGTAATAAATATTTTACAATGCTGTATCGTATCTCTTTTATTTAATTAGGTTCTAAACGTGTTGTTTGGTTCCCGTTCAGAGTATTCAATGGCATCATTTTCCTTTTATTAATCAAGATCTTTCCAAGAGAAAGAGTTTAAGAAAAAAGCACGAGTATCTTTTCTTCGTTAAAATATGAACACAAACAATATGAACGAAAACCATACACGCCCGGATCTCATAAAAAGAACTCTCAAAGAGTCAAATAATACAAAAATTATTGACTGCGCAATTCTCACATTCACCTGGAACTCAGAATTTAAGTGTGTTGACCATTGCGTAATCTTGCGATTACATGCGTCCAAGAAAATCTAAAGCGACACGCCGCGGCGAACCTTTGACCCCGCAGTCATAGGCAAATAATTGTGTATTAAAACCATTTCACAATTAATGGAAAATTATTATTGTCGGATATTTGAGATTAATATGTTCATATAATGTTGGCTTATCTTCGTTTTAAATTTGATCGTGATACATGTTTTTCTGAAACAGCTATCTTGGTGTTGTGTTTGTTTACAATTACGCGACCAACCATTCTTTCCATCGCTTGTTGACATTAATTTACACAGCGTGGTCGAATGTTAAATCTTATTTTACAAACTTACGGAAAACATTATTTTCTGTAAGTCAATCGAATCTTTCAAAAATATTTTAAAATATCTTAGGTTTGACTTTAGAACAAAACGCTGGGGTATTTATTTTACATGTACATTAATCAGTCTTCAATTTTTATAGTTCGTTAGCTAAATGTGTATTTTTACTTTCGTTTTGACGATTCATATGGACTGGCGATCTGCGGTTACTTTACTTCAACCAATATTGATTTAAATGCACAAGCTGAATTTTCGCTTTTAACACACAAATAAATCCGTTTTCAACACAAATTTTCCCAAACACATTTTGGTTCATCACAGATTTTTACCATGGCTATTTCAGTTTTAAATTTTAAAGAAAATCTTCCGAATAATAAGGATCTATTCAGAATTTTACTCATTAATGAAATGGACTAAACATCGATAAGTATCTCCGGCACGTTAAAACTTCACAAGTGACTTCTGTGCTTCACAATGCCTATTTATATTACACGTTGAATGGTCAAGTTGAAAAAATAATTTAAGATTTTAAAGCAGTGAATTTTATTTGTTTTATCATTTATTCAAAACCTTTAAATGATTAGTATAGTGTGCTAACTTTTTAATTTTGTTCCTTGATTTTAAAAATATCAGTAGTAGGTTATACAATGTGCATGTAATTAGTATTAAACCCGCATCGTATGTACGGAATCGAAAATTTAAGAACTTGTATATAACAATCTGCAGCTACTGAATATCACAAACTTATCATGTAATTACACACTTTCATGACCTAATTTAAACTGTTAAAATCATAACCGGCACCATAGTTAAACATTAATTGTCTCATAATCGGCACTTAGGGCCTTTAAGCAGGGAGGGATCTTTTTTTGTGTCAGCACCTAAAGCGACACAGGACCTTGTTTTATACGGTCTCATCGGAAGGACAGGTCCCCACGTCCCACAGTGGGAATCGAACCACGACGTAAGGATCAACTCCTTACTTCGCTACCATAGAACAGACGCTCTAATCACTGCGCTTTGCGGGCGACCTTGGGAGATATAAAATGAAAACAATGAAGAAAACGGTTAGTAAAAAATAAGAAGGGGTCGTTTTATTAAGTATTATTCCTACGAACGTCAGGGCAAGAATGAGAAACCATACATGTATTTATGAACGCTTCCTGATGTAAAAAAGATTACTTTTTTTCAAATCATGACTAGAGTTTTCCCTTGCAAAGTGTTTGTGTATTTTTTTTTTTGGGGGGGGGGGGGTAGTGTGGATGGAATTGGAATTAAACGGTCTGTTTAACTGTCCATATGTCTGTCTGCCCTTTCAAGTCTTTCCCAGAAGGTCAGGCTATAACATAAAGAAACCAGAAGCTTGTA